GAAGATATAGTAAGTTTAGCCGCAACATACTGGCACTTTGATGTTTTTGTAACTCCCCTATTGTTCTTCTAGATCAGCCCATGTCTTTCAACGCAAAATACCCAGCTCCATATTTGGGCAATGGAATCGGCTGCAGTCCTTGGAGCTCTAGACCAAGACATTGCTGCTGAAATCCTTCCTAGCACATCGACTGCAATAGAGTCAGATGAAGAGGCGCTCAAGGTAAAATCTTCGCCTAATAATACATTTTTACTGTTTTCAAAGTTTGTATTTGATTGAAAATCTTGTAGATATCAGTTATTGACGTGGTTGCCGATATGATTGTTATCTATGGCTGCAGAGATGTGCTTAGTTGGTGTCGTAGCGCAGCTGGAGATTCTGATAATGGGCGAAGTTTTATAAATGAGCTGATCGACATTGTGATGTGTAAGGTATGCTTGCTTTTCGTCTCTTCGCTTTTTTTCTTTGTTGAAAGAATATTGTGCCTTTGAAAATAGTAGTTCATTTGATCATTGCAATAGCTTGTCAGAGTAGGCCCTTTTCAGGTAGTATTCACCAGCAGATCACCGAGCAAATAGCCCCAGCCCTACCCTCCAATCTATGCATCAAGTCCTGGAAGCTTGCTTCAAAGTACCATCGGCTCCGCCCAATTTTGGTCAGTAAGCGTCAGTTGTGGGACTTTGGCACGCTTTTGGGACTTGCATATTGGAGGGCAGGCGGGTCTACTACTTGGGGGCTACCATCTGAGACCATCAATCTGACAAGGGTCCATTCACAGTCTTTAAACGGCAACTTCTGCTATCATTTTTGAAAATTATTTATTCATCCGTTGTTTTTTTCACTTTTTATCACTTTGTTGTAGAAAACTGGACCACTCCTATGCGTAAAAGCCTGTGAATGCCTTGCCAAAATAGTGATGGCTGAAAGTCTCTCAACTGAGGATAATTATCTAATCGAGGCTCTTGTTGCGCTGATCTCGAGGTATAGTTCTTTTGCTTATTGAAATCACAGACGCACCAAATTATTTAGGATGTTCCATGCTTTCACAGTCAAAATGCCTGCCGTGA